GCAATCGCTGACAGAGCACAGCTGCAGTAGCTGTGCTTTCTGTCAGTTCCCTGACAGCTCCAGGACAAGCTGATCGGGACAGAAGAGTTTCTCTCTCCCAATCAGCGGTGTTCCCTGCAGTACACACCCCTGCCCCCTAGTAAAACACTCCCCTTACCCAGTTAACCCTTTCCCTGAAAAATAAACTTAACCCCTTCCTCCCCAGTGCCATTAGTGCAGTGTCAGTGGTTTTTTTTTTTTTTTTGCACTGATCACTGTATTGGTGTCACTGGGGATGTCAGTGACCCCAAGTCAGTATCCCCCAATGTCAGAATGTCCGCCGCAGTCCCGCCATAAGTCACTGATCGCCGCCATTATTAGTATAAAAAAAACCCTAAAAATCCCAGTATCTTTCCCTCCACCTGTAAACGTTATAACTTTCACGTAAACCAATTAATTTACACGTATTGGTTTTTTTTTTTTAGCAAAGACATGTCGCAGAATGCATTTTGGCAGAAATTTTAAACTAAATTTGATTTTTAAATTTTTTTTACTGGACATGTTTATAGCAAAAAGTCCAAAATATTGTTTTTTTTTCCTCAAAATTGTCAGCCTTTTATTTTTATAGCGCAAAAAATAAGAACTGCACAGGCGAACAAATACCACAGAAAGAAAGCTCAATTTGTTGGGGAAAAAAGGATGTAAATTTCATTTATGTACCATTTTGCATGACCGCGCAATTGTTCATTAAAAACTAGTGCAGCGCTGTATAGCAAAAAAAAAAGGCGTAAATTGCAGTATCTATACCATAGTTTGTAGACGCTATAGCTTTCACAAAAAGCAATCAATATACACTTATTGGGATTTTTTTTTACCAAAAACCTGTAGCAGAATACATTGTGGCCTAAATTTATAACCAACTTTGAGTTTAGAATATATTTTTTATAGCTGAAAGTAAAAAATATTGTTTTTCTTCAAAATTTTTGGCCTTTTTTTGTTTATAGCGTGAAAAATAAAAAGCGCACAGGTGATCAAATACCACCGAAAGAAAGCTCTATTTGTGTGAAAAAATGGACGTAAATTTCGTTTGGGTGCAGCATTGCAGTGACCGGGAGTATTTCTGATTTGCTAAAATGAATGTGAAAATTGGACAATTTACCATATCTGTGCATCTCAGATACCAAGATCGGTAGAGTGGTGATAGGTAGTGGAACAGAATATCAGCATAAGCTGTAGTTTATGCACTTTTAAGCTTACACAGAAGCCCCGCACATCCGTATTTTGACGGATCATTCTCTGGAAAGCTTCCAGCACTGAGGCAAATAGTAAGGGGGACAATGGGCAGCCCTGCCTGGTGCCATGGCGGATCGGGAAGGGTTGGGAAAGGAGCCCATTACCTTCACTAGGGACTTCCTTTTTAAAGTGTATTCGGTAATGTGTTTCCTATTCTATTGGAAGAGGTGCCTACATTTCATGGGCTTTCTTGGAAGACTCCTGGAATGAGGTACTCTTGTCTGTCCCAGAGATGTTAAGCTGGCACAACGAATTTCCTCAATGCTGTTCTTTTCTTTTAAAAGGTAGATAGTCGTCTGAGCATGGGGGTGGGAGCAGGTTTAGGCTTCGTTAGAATTTGACTGGAATTCCACTTTAATGTTACCCTCTTGTTAAACTCATGAATATAGACTCTGCTTTCTGCTGCTCAGTTGATTTTACTCTTAGTGGGGTAATATGGGGTCTTTGTTAGAACTATAATAGATAAATGTGTTTTTCTCCTAACCACCTGTATGTCTATTTATTGATGGGCACAGGAGGTGTTTATAAAAGCTCTTCAGCAGCCAGACATGTTCATGGAGGTCACATAATAAATTAGAAATTCCAGGCTAAAAGCATTGATTTTTATCTTGTTGTGGTGTATTTCAGTGCCTCGTTACGTGCACAAGAAAGCAAAAATACTTTGATGTTTTACTTTTTTTTTTTGTCTTGGGGAAAAATCCCAGTTAGAGTAGGGTAACCTTTGTACCAAAAAATTATTGTAGTAGGGTCCGAATGTTTTTGAGCATTTCTCATTTTTGTCAATTGACTAACCATACCTAGACTTAAAGTCTGCAAAAATATTTTGGGTATTTACTGAGCTGTTCAATCTTTGTTTTGTATGATCTCTTTGTTATTTTAAGGCTTTTCAAGATACATAAAGCAATAAGAATACTTTAGATATTCCAATACGTTTTTTTTTTTTGTTAAGGTGGTAAAGGACTTATACGTCAAGTTTACCTGCACTATTGATGGAAAAGAACATTCAGAAGTTTGTTTACCAGTGTGATTGCATAGTCCACTGAATGAATCGCCAAAGTACTTCTGTCCCTTCACGCACAAAAACATTTACATAGCACTTGTCTCGTATATACAATGTCGCAATGTAGCTGAACAAAATGTGATGAATGTAACCGTAGCCCAATTGCAGTGCAAAGGGGTAAAGAATGACCAGGTCATCACAAACCCCCCAGACTGAAAGGGATCTGACTCTGAGAGTCCGAATAGTGCAAAATTGGACCCACAAACACCATGTGAGCAAGAAACTGTAAATATTGTCACATCCCAGGAGTGCATTTGTTTTGTATGAAATAGTCCACTTCACACACCCACTCAGACAGGGAAGCAGTATCAGTTCTGCACCAATATTTGGCTTTATTAGTATGAACAGAGACCAGAAAGTGGAATAGAATACCCCTTTTGATCTGTTTCTAGGAACCATGAATCAATATGAGTAAATTGGGAGATATTGGGGATGAAATCACCAGTCACATTTTTGGTAATACATATTTCCCCACAAAATGGCATTAAATGAGACATCTGAGACAGAGTGATGCTCTCAGAGCGGCATCTCCAGTAGGAATCTAGAATAAAAGGGTCTAACCTATGAAAAAGTGAGGGGCAAGCAGTATCACAGGAAAAAGATATGACATTCTGTGCTTTGGAGTAGATAGGCATTTTATGAGTGAAGATCAGTATCAAGCCCTCTCTCCTGGTTAGAGATTGTGTGAGAGGTCGTGGGTAGGATTCCTGAACAAGAAGCTGATAAATGGTAGAAATCATTTGATCAGATCTAGTAGATTGAAGTAGGTTTTCAAGACTTGTACAGAATCTGAAAAATGCGTCAGTTGGCGGGAGCAATTTCACGTAGTGAGACGTGACAGTGCTCAATCCATGCCACTCAACCATTTTGGCAAAAGGGTAGAAGCTGAGAGTGCAGAAAGGTGGCCCTGGTGGAGCACTTGACTAAGTTGAATGCCATCACCCCTATGCTATCAAGAAGTAGAACAAAAGTAACCCCCCCCCCCCCTTTTTTTTTTTTTTTTTTTTTTGTAGAGAATTGTCCCAGATTAGTAAAGTAGCCTGGACCAATGATGTCCTGTAACATCCAGCCTACCCTCTGCTGAAGGAGAGTTGGTAATCCTATGAAAACTTGAAGGCTTGTAGCACCAAGTAAGGTCATGAATCTCAAGAGCCAACCCAAGAGAAATCCTTTACAAGGAATACAAGGCACAGCCTGAAATATATAAATATTCTTGGTTAGAATGTCCAGTAATTCTTCTCGGGCACAAAAAGCTGGGCTTGTCATATATCCCGAGTCATTTCAGAGCATAAACAGTAAGGGTATGTAATTTTTACATCCGCCAGAGTTTTAGATCAGAAGGTATATACATGCCCAGATATTTATTGGCAAACTCCTGCTAATGGAAATGAAATTAGTCTTTAATTGAAAATGCTTCCATGTCGATAGGGATATGTTTAAGCCTTCCATTTTACCATAATTGACCGTATAATTGCTTAAGCATCCAAAGAGCTCAAATTTTTTGTGCCTTTCCCACATACGTCCATTCTCTCAGTTATAAAGTAAAAGATCATTGGCATTAATAACGTATACTGATGCTCAGCTAGACAGCCCTTTAACGTCAGGATTACATGATTGTGCTTTGCAAGATGTTCCATAGTAAGAATATGCATCATAGGGAACAATGGGCAACCTTGGTGGGTGCCGTTGAGAATATGTAAAGGATCAGAGACAAGTCAGTCAATGGAAGGATAAAGATGAGGCAAAACATTTTGTAAGATGTTTGGGCTCAGACCTACCTTTTTTCAAAGAAAGGCCCTGTCCACTCTATTGAATGCCTTTTTTGACATCAATGGATATAAGAAATGTAGGGGCCTTTTTATGTTTTGGCATAGTCAATGAGAGACATTGTATTAATGGTATTATCCTGGGCCTCGCAGACAGGGTAAATCCTTCTCGAGTCAGGTGAATAAGATCAGCAATAAGTGTTTGTAGTCTAGTAGCAGTGGTTTTGAATAAAGGCAGATTGCAATTTTGTTTAGGGATATTGAATGATAGCTGCTGCATGCTAAAGCATCTTTTCCTAACTTGGGGATTACAACAATCTGAGCCTCAGGGGCCTGTGTGGGGAACGGGTGATCTGGTGAGATATTATTAAAGGCTCTTGGAAGGGATAAGAGCATTTGAAAAGACCCTGTAAAAGCAGGAAGAAAAGCCATCTGGACCCAAGCTCATGCTTTCTCACAGTTTTTCTTTTCCATTAAGGTATTGACTTGCAATTTGCCTCTGAACTTACTGTGGAATTTGACTACTTCAAAAGTTGCTAATTTCCTATCAAGATCCCCTTCTTTCTTGCTTGTCACAGTCACAACCTTTTTATGTAGCAAATGGGGGATTAAATGGGGTTAAGAACCTTAGTTTGCTTCTCCAAATACGAACTACTAAGAGCATATCTTTATATTTTATTTATATTTTTTTGGTGGGCATGCATTTTACAAGTGAAACCTGATTTGGTTTTTAATGGTTTAGTTTTCTTTTTTTATTTTAACATTTTACACAGAACTTAGTATAACAGTATAATAAATATTGTTCTCTGTTGGCAGAGTTCCAAAACTAAGAATATAGCTGCTTTTTAATGCAAAATATTGGTTTACTTGTACTTTAAAATTGTTTTGTGCATATTTTGCAGGATGGTTGCAGTTATGAAAAAGAAATGGTCGCTTTCTTGGATAAAGCTGATGTGCTTCCCTCACATAAGTCTAAGCAAGATAGTCGAGAATGCCATGCTATAACTTCCAAACCCTCAAAGAAGTTGTCTACTCTGAAAAGTAAAACTTGCAAGAATTCAACTTCATTTTCTTTGATTGAAAATGATGAAGATTTTCAGCCACTATTCAAGTCTTCAAAGAAAGTAAAGTCTTGTGTCACTGAATATGACAATACAGAACCGGTAGGCTATACCACAGCAATGGAGGTGAGCAGTGATGCTGAGATTGGTCCTCATCAAGATCTTGCTCAAGATTTGGCTGTTGAAGTTGCAATGAACGGTCATAGCCGAGCATCTCCAACTAAGCCTGACTCTGGGTACCACAGTTTCATTGAAAACTCCTCTGATGGTTTACCTAATCTATTTTATACTGAGTATACACAAAATAATCATCATCTGGATTCAGAATTTGTTGGAAAAGACCCTCATGTATTAAGTGATATGTTATCACGTGTAAAGACATTCTTGACTTGTTCTCCCCCTTCGTTAAGTGAACTTGATTCTTTAGAAGATGTAGACCTTTCTAGCAATAATTTAGCAAGCAGACATTTACCTTGTGAAAATGTGAACACTGATACATCCATAGAGACACATTGTGGTGTACAGGAATCCCACAATCACGTAGAGAATTTATTCTTGAGAGAAGGACAAGCTGCATCTCCCAAAAAGTGTAATTCTGTTCAAGAAGAGCTATGTGAAACTGAACTATCTGCTTTGCCAGCTCAAGAAGATCATCATGTGGAGACTGTCAAAGAAAATAGACTTGAAGATCAAGATGCTCAAAGTGATCGTCATTGGGATGATATTTTTGACTCTGACGGCGATGAAACTTATATTGAAAACCTTGACTCTCCTACAACAAATGGCCCTACCCAGTTCCAAGGTCAAGATGATAGTAAGGAAGATGAACCTAAAATATATGAATTACCTAAAACTGGAAGTAATAGCAAAAACAGAACAGTAACCATTGGGGAAGTGGATGTTAATAGTTCTGTCGTCAGTAAACAGAAGACTGAAAGTGATGAAACTGACATTGAAGCTACTCGTAGCCCTTACCATAGCAATGATAATGTAGTACATCGACGTAAGGATGAAACTGAGCTAGATTCAGTTCCTGACTACCTTGACGACAGCTTTGATTTATTTGAAGATGAGAAATTTGCGCGGAGGTTCATAAACCTAGTTCAAGCAAGGCAGTCACAAATATAAACCACAATCATGATTTAACCACTGTTAATTTTAATATGTTTGATCCATCCTTATTAATGGAAGACTATACTGAAGAAGAACCCGAAAACAAGGCTTGTTTGTCCTCCTACAAGGACTTAGAGCAGTCAGAGGATCAAGAGGAATTTGGCTCCTGTGAGTTGTTTTCAGTCAATTTTGACCTTGGATTCTCTATTGATGATGATCATTCAGAAGAAGAGAACCCTGAAAAGGTACAGCCAGAAAATGGAAGTGTAGAAGAGGCCGGACATTTCAAAGCCCCAAGCCCCCCCAGGTGTATTATCCGAGGAGGTGTTATGTCAACCCCAGTGACCGTTGGGTTTAAAAGTTCTACCTTGGAAACTGAAACCTCTCCGGGTTCTTCATTTTTAACACCAGTAATCGAAAAAGTCAAAAACTTCAAAACTTCTCACAGTCCTATGACTAGACATGACATATATACCCACTCTACGCCAGAGTCAGGGCTATGCAAAATAAATTCACCTTTAGTGGATATGAAAAAATCGGACACAAATCCACCTTCGGCCAAGAATAACCACCTTGTAATCAGTACGTACTATATTTCTCTTGTTAATTGCCTAAAGCCCAAATTTGGGCACCAGCATTTTAATAATTTCAGAGCTGCAAAAGTTTGCCTTTTCATTGTAGTTAATGAATCTTTGATTAATTCAAAGACAACTTTCAGTCTTCAAGATATTTCAGCTTCCGCTCGCTCCCTGTCAAAAAAGCACTGTAAGTTTGGCAGACACCAGCACTGGTGTCCTGTCTCTGCGCTTTGCCATTCAAATGCAGCGTGTAACAATGCATTTTGTAGATGGCCTAGAGTAGATATAGCAGTGAAGACATGACCACAGAACTGATCTTTATAACATCTAGGGCTGACGTCAGCAGGGTCTGGATGTACAGCTGAAAGAAGACTTTTTAAAGATATAAGAGAAATTCAGAAATATCTGACTACATTGAAGAGATAAACACTTATAACACTTTGTAGAACTGAAACTATTAAAATGTTGGTGCCCATAGCTGGACTTTGATGTATTAAAATGCAAGAGTAGACTAGTCTAAGCTATTTACATAGATCATATCACATTTATTATAGGAATACAACTGTAGCTTAGGGTACCCAGGTCGGCTTCAAAGGTCAGCTCAATTACAACATTTGGAAATGTTTCTGGAATTGCCTGATTATCCAGCTGCATTTTCCTTTCTTCTCCTTTTGCCTATTTGTTATCAAATAATCACTGGCCCCTTTATTTGCTTTGTGGTAATTTACAGAAAAACCTCCTTCAAATTCCTGTTACATTAACTTTTGTTGTATGAACTTTACCCATTGACAATGGCCATGTGCCTTTGCTAATAGTGGTAGCTAAATGGGAACCCAGAGCCTGTAGGCAACATTTTCCAACCTTACATATTGGATTAGGTGAAAGGAGGGGGGTTAGTTCATGTATATGTAGATTTAGATTTTATTTACACTTGGGTATTCTTCAGTCTACTAATACCCAAGTATAGATATATATCTCAATGTTGCAAGCACTTTTTTCTAAACCTTTTTATTAATTTGAGAATAAGTGACTTTAAAATGGCTAAAACAGCAATGGGCAAACTACGGCCCGCGGGCCGTATACGGCCCGGCGGACCTTTTAATCCGGCTCGCGGAGCTAGGCTCCCGCAAGGCCAGTGGTCGGCAAGCCGCGGCTCTTTACAAATTTAGATGCGGCTCTCCTGTGTGCCGGGCGCCCGCTCCCCCCCTCCCTCCTCTCCCCTCCTCTCCTCTCGGATGGCCGCCCCCCCTCTCGGATGGCCGCCCCCCTCCCTCCTCTCGGACGTCAGGACTCTGCAGCTGTCAGGATGTAGGCGGGGCAGCCAGGATGTAGGCGGGGCAGCGTGACGAACTCCTCTCACAGTCCTCCCTGAAGACCAGAACGGCGCGGGAATACGAGAGGAACGCGCGGACCAAAGGTAAGTGAATTGACACATGGGGGGGACTTACTATATGGGGGACTTACTATATGGGGGATGAATTACTATAGGGGGGACTTACTATATGGGGAATGAATTACTATATGGGGGACTTACTATATGGGGAATTAATTACTATATGGGGGACTTACTATATGGGGAATGAATTACTATATGGGGGACTTACTATATGGGGAATGAATTACTATATGGAGGACTTACTATATGGGGAATGAATTACTATATGGAGGACTTACTATATGGGGGATGAATTACTATATGGGGGACTTACTATATGGGGAATTAATTACTATATGGAGGACTTACTATATGGGGAATGAATTACTATATGGGGGACTTACTATATGGGGAATGAATTACTATATGGAGGACTTACTATATGGGGAATGAATTACTATATGGAGGACTTACTATATGGGGGATGAATTACTATATGGGGGATGAATTAATATGGGGGGGATGAATTAATATGGGGGATGAATTAATATGGGGGATGAATTACTATGTGGGGGATGAATTACTATGTGGGGGATGAATTACTATGGGGGATGAATTACTATATGGGGGATGAATTACTATGGGGGATGAATTACTATAGGGGGGATGAATTACTATGGGGGACGAATTACTATATGGGGGACGAATTACTATATGGGGGACGAATTACTATATGGGGGACGAATTACTATATGGGGGACGAATTACTATATGGGGGACGAATTACTATATGGGGGATGAATTACTATATGGGGGATGAATTACTATATGGGGGATGAATTACTATATGGGGGATGAATTACTATATGGGGGATTAATTACTATGGGGGATTAATTACTATGCTTACTATGGGGGAATATTACTATACTTACTATGGATGACACATACACATCATTCATCTACTCTTGGTCCGGCCCCCGGGTCCAATATATGAACCCATTGCGGCCCTCAAGTCAAAAAGTTTGCCCACCCCTGGGCTAAAAGCACATCAATGATGTAAAGTAGGCACACAGCCTGCATGTGTACCCACATACTTTATAGTCACACCAGGATCTGATGTTGCACTTGTTCCTGCCAACTCTATTTCCCTGTGGATACTTAACCACTTCCCGTCCAGCTGCTGTATATAAACGGCTGGACGGTGGCAGTCCAGAGGCGGGTTGCTGTTCATAAACGGTGCCCGCCATTTTGGACCGTGCGCGCTCCTTGGGAGCACACGATCCCGTGCCTGCTGTGTCCTTCGCTGTACAGGACCTGTGTGAGGTCCCGATCATGTGATCACTGATTGGTCAGTGATCACATGAATAGTAGTAAGCAAGATGTCACTTCCTGACATCATTGCTTACTACGTGTGAAATCTGTGAATGAGAAAAATGAAAAAAAAAATCTTCAACACCCCCCACAAGTAGTACAGTGTCACTATGTGATACTGTACTGTTGGCTGACAGTATGTTAAAAAAAAATAATCTAAAAAAATTAAATAAAAATGAAAAATAAAATTTTTGAAATTATAATTTTTGGTTATAAACTAATTTGGGTTATTTAGTTTTACTAAAAAGAAAACTGAATACATTTTGGCCAAGATTTATAAAGAAAGATTATTTATTTGCAAAACACTTTTTTTTTTTTTCTCAAACTTTTTGGACATTGTCATTTATATAGCAAAAAAAAGTGGTGAATAAATACCACCAAAATAAAGTTTTATCTGTCTCAAAAAAATGCTAAAAAATTCATATGGGTACAGTGTTGCATGACCGCGCAATTGTCATTCAAAATGTGACAGCACTGAAAGCTGAAAATTGGCCTGGACAGGAAGGGGGTAAAAGTGTCCAGACATGAAGTGGTTAAGTCCATACACCTGTACTATAAGAAACCTGTTGCCATTGCTTATTTTTGCCAGAAAAAGCTAACTGCCTGTCTGCGTCTATATTTAATGGCTTGCTTACATCACTGTGGTGTGCTAACACATGCTACACATGTTGGTGGAACACATTTGCATTTTTTTTTTCATATAGAATCCCAACACACCTTCTCGGCACACTTGCACTACAGTGCAGCTCAACAAAGGACACTGCACTAAATGCCATTGCAATGTCACATATGCCATAGCTTTTTATTTGCAGCCTTTGGTAACCCATTCAAATGGCGGCAGTGATTGTTAATGTGCATCTGTTTAACAGACGGACCAGGCTGCTGTACACATATCCTATTTTGAGTCTCTGACCTGGCACAATCTTAGATGAGGAAAGTACAGGTAATCGTGATATCAGACATCCAAATCTGCATACTTGGTCTGGGTCAGCGTCCACTTGATATTCAGAAGTAGGGGTCAGCAATGCTGTTTTCTCCCTAAAGGTCTGTAATGGGCCAAGAGGGGGGTACAGGAGGTGCGAAAGGTGATGCTAAGTGCAAAAGAACTTTCCAAGCTTGAAAGGAGATGCTAAGTGCAAAAGAACTTTCCAAGTTTGAAAGGTGATGCCAAGTGCAAAAGTTGATTGGCAATGCCAAGTGCAGCTCCGTTCCTGAAGCTGCTATTTGAATTTCAGTTTACGTGCGTATTGGGTCTGCTGAAGCAGTATATAAAAGATATGTGAGTACACATGCAGGCAGGGGCGGACTGACCATTTGGAAACTCGGACAGTGCCCGAGGGCCCGGGGTCAGTAGGGGGCCCCATGAGATGCCCCGGTACCTTTTTCATAGGCTTTTTTGAGTTTGAGCAAGGACACAGGGGCCCCATGATCCCCTATTGCCTGGGGGCCCCATGAGTTGTCAGTCCGCCCCTGCATGCAGGCATCACTGAACTTTCCAAGTTCCCACTGGCTTATTTTAAACAGATGTGTTGTATCCTGCAGGAGATATCTCTTTTGTGTACTCGTGTTCTGTAAGTGAGCCCCTTTTCCAAAGTTTGCTTCTCCTGCATGTTGGTGGGCAGTCAATACAGAACTGTGGATTCTTTACTCATCCCTAACCGTTTGGTGCCCTTATTCTTTCTTTCTTTCTTTTTTTTTTTTTTTTTTTCCTTTCATACCAACAGTAATTCAGACCTTTAGAAATTCTCTTGCTAAGTTCCAGAGAACAATGGCTTCAAGGCTGCAGATATTGTATGAAAACACATTGTAAATGTTTAACTATCTCTATACAGCATTGTTTGCCTATAAATGTATATATAACAAAACAAAACTGTAGTTTTGGCAGCTTTGTTTGAAGATGTGTTTAAAGTCACTGTTCACCTTACAGCACAATGTCAACGACCTCCGTATTGTTTAAATCATAAATATTTTTTCCACTTTTATTTTAGGCCTATTAGTCCTTTACATGTGTTCTATTATAGAATGTGACGGTTTGCTTCCAAATACAAACAAAACAGCGGAGGCCTTTGAAATAATCGCATGTACAAAGTGTCTCCTGCGGTTGATGTGTTATTAGCGCAGCCACAGGGCACGGTGGCGGTTTTGTGTTTAATCATTGGCTGCCCTCTGCAGCAATGGCTTTTCATTCTGTTTCTCATGGTTTGTTCTGGGATGTTTGCCATCTCTCTGCAGGCAGCAGCCCCGAGAGTGAGGATGATGTTGTTTTCAGGCGGAAACGAAAATTGGCAGCAGCAGCTGTCCTCAAGTCACCGGAGGTAAGCAACATAGCATCGTTTGCCATAATAGAGGCCAGAATCATGAACATAATGTATAGGCTTTAATTAGTAATGGACTTATTGCAGCGTGTGTTGGTTTGTTTCAAATCTCACTTCCTAGTCCACAAGCAGCGAGTGTGATTTCGAATCCCCACAGCCTGGAGCAAAAAAACGGAGACGGGAGCCTAGTACCGTAAGTCTGCCTTTTCTTTTTTTTCTTTTAACAAATATATGCTTGTCCCTGTAAATAAGTTATGATTTTGTTTTATGTCAAAATTCTTAGAGGTTCTTCAGTCTAAAAAAAAAATTAAAAAATTAAGTCCGCATCTACAAATCCTGTAGCTGCTGACTTTTAATAAAAAGACACTTGCCTGTCCATGGATCCAGCGCCATCCTCACCTGGGCTAGTTCTTCACTTGTCTCTAGGTCGCCTGCATCTTTAATGTGAGAAGCCGGTTGTGACTCCTTGAGGCTTCATAGTTGGTTTCCCACTGTACATGCACGAGCTGAGCCTCACTGTGCTTTGTGAATGGTCCCGCAACCTTCTGGGACCTGTGACCCTGTCCCAGGAGTCTGTGAGCAGGGAAGGAAGGGGTCGGGGGAGGAGACAGAAAATGGGAATTTCCCCTTTTGGGTGAAGTTCTGCTGCAAAGTGGATTTGAAATCAACAAGTACCGACTAGGTATCTTTTAGAGAACATCTAGAAATATTAATGTAGAAATATAAGCAAAACATATATATTTTTTTTTTCATTTTGGATAGAGTAAGGGAAGTCTAATAAACTCTATCTGATTTTTTGCCATCTGTGTCTCATAGAGGAGTTTTCCCTTCACTTCCTGTCCCATAGTTGAAACAGGAAGTGAGAGCAAATTCCTGCAGTACTCCTTTTGAGGCCACCAGAACTAATGTCCCTATTGGAAGTCTCCCCTCTATATTACTTTTCTGGGGACAACAGAAAACCTTGGATTTTTTTTTCCTTTCACTTTCAAATAGAGAGTGGTAATCTCCCTAACGGGGACACGGGCAGCATTAAAAACCTAATAGGTGGTTTAATCCCTCCCCACTGAACAGCAGCAGTGTACGCTATGTACGTTGCGCCTCACAGCTATATACAGTATCTGTGGTGTGGGATCTAAGGTACTGTCTTCTCCTAGTGCTAGTGTGAAATTTGGATTAAGATTTTGTAATGTCACTGTTGGGCTGTTCAATGTTCTCCTTGCTGGAGAGAAATAATCTGAGAACCTGTTTGTGTTTTGTTCTGTGGATCTGTGCTTCCTCCACCCCTCTTGCTTCTTGATCATTACCCCACCAGTCCTCAGATTGCCAGTCAAGGGGAGGAGGGCACCTCTGACATGGGAAAGCAAAGATCTGCTTCTTTATCTAGGTGGTCACTTTGATGTAAATGTATAATATATATGTAGAGCGATGCAACACTATATAAGTAGCTATAATAACAGTTTGAAATAAGGCACGGTAAATCGGTAATAGGAAAAAGATCTACAAGTGCCTACAGAGAGACTACAAGCAGTAATGGTGACTCTCAGCTCTGCTTGCCTTCTTGTGGGCACATCTTCCACAGTCAATGGCCTCTTTTTTAATTTAAGCCTTACTTTTTAGAATGCAAGCAGTGATTGTGATACGGACTCACCGATGCCTGGAGCAAAAAAGTGCAGACGGGGGCTTAATAGGGTAAGTCTACCTTCCTTTAATTTTATAGCAGAAAGTTGTCCTGAGCATCCTGTAAAGCTGTTCTGCGGTTTATCGTGCAGTGCGCCTGTGGCTTCCCTGCAGGTTAGCTGCACTTTGCCATAGACTTCTAATATATATATATTGATGGTGGGTACACTTTCTGGAAGTCCGCCAAGATTCCAGCATTCAGGAGTTTTGAATGTGCTTCCCTGGTTTGAGGTTGAGGGCCTTATCAAGTTGAACACACCTGGCTTAGATGTTCTACACCATATGGCCAGAAGTTTCTGGACACTTGATCTTCACACCTACCTACATTTTAGACAAGTGGGGCAATAGTGTTTCAGCATGACTGGGCCCCTATATACAAATCTCTTCATAAGGACATGGTTTATGCACAGAACCCTGACTCCATCCCTATTGCAGACCTTTTGAGGTATTTTAGACCACAATTGCTAGGCAGGATTTCTGGTCCAAAATCAGTACCTTACCTTGCAAATACTCTTTTTTGGATAAATGTACAAAATGCTGTTATAAGCCACAAAGTGGGGAGTAGGGCGCAACTCTATAGTAATTGTCAGGGCCCCGGGTATGACCAGAGGTGTGTGGACTGACACAGGGAAACGCAGGCTTCAGATATAGTATAAACAATATAATTATATTTATTTAAGACTAAACAATACATAAATGCAGTACAAGACTAAACATAAACACAGTGAAAACAAACCAAACCAAAACCCCCAACAGATAACAAAAGAACAATACTAAGCAAAGTCGGACGGGCCGGGTCAGGAACAATCAGGCAGACAAGGTACCAAAGGAGCAGACTGGAGAGTGGTCAGGAATAGCAGAGGTCAGGACAGGCGGAGTACAATCGGAGTCAGGGATCAAGCAGGATCAGACCGGAAGCCGACAGGATGCAGGTACAGGGGCTCTTGGGAAAACATACACCAAGGCCCTGATTGCAAGTCTGGCCATTCCTTATATGCACCTCCTGCAATCAGCCTCAGGTGTTTTGGCTGACTGCAGAAGTGAGCCTCTGGTTGCTGAGAGCACCCGCTGGCCAGTCCTGGTACTGCAACCCACAAGGCAGGTGAGTCCATTCCTGACAGTAATGTTCATGGTATATGAATTTGAATTGGATCTCCTCTAGCAAAGTTAGATAGGAGTAATGATCAGATAGTCGCACGTTTTTGCCATATAGTATATCTCAAAATTTTAACAAATAAGGATTCTAAAGTAATAACTAGACATTATCTATCTATCTATCTATCTATCTATCCAGAAAGATGGACTGAGCTTTATCGAAACATTGAAAATGAAAACACTGTTGTTTTAATCTCTATTCTATGCAAGACCCATGAGTGCCTCTCTACTGGTTTTGGATTTGTATGGATTTCTTTGTGCACAAACATAGTGAGGTGGCTACCCTGGACTATGTGTCACAGAAATGTTGCATATGTCAACTATATTACATGATCTAAAACATGTATTTTTAGATCTCATTCTCATCTGCTGTATGCCCCTATACACTAACCTGTGCAATGAAGTACAATCATACACTACTTATGGATACTAAATAATTCACATGATTTACGAGTGGCCCTGTTAAAAAAAAAAAACCTAAATCTAAAGATATGTACTACGGACAAAGATGGGGTGTTTGGAATGAAAAGGATGGATATAAAAGGCAAAAATACATGCAATTTGTGGAAAAAAATACATTTGATTGTCAATAGCTGGGTGTTGCTAAGTAACAGTGCATCTCTATCAGAATAGTCATTTTCTGCAGCTTTTCAAGGATACTGAAAAGCTGTAACTGGCTGCACGTCTTTGTAGCTGTCCTTAAACAGGTCACTGGCATCTATATTATGAGTTTGGTGATCACCTACTTAAAAACCCAGAATGTTCTCCTGCTGGACACTAGCAGTGCAAATTGCCCTCTGATTTCACCTATCCATCATACTTTTATTACAGCTTTCCCTTCGCTTCTAGGAAGGGATTTGTAGTCTTCAACTAATAAAGCTCATTGTTAGAAACATCTCGTGCACCTGATTTGTGATTTTTAATCCTTTAATCTCTCCTGTTTTTCTGTGTTGGCAGGTATGCTCAGATGATGAAGACCTAGAGCCCCCTTCAGTTGCTCATAAATCTAGAGTTCAGCATGGGGTGTACCAGAAAGATGCAAGAAGACCTAAGCACAAGGGCAAGCGGGTTTGTGATAGCAATGTATTCCAAATTACAATGATCTGTGTTCGTTCTTGCAGAAAAGTATGTCCAGGGTTTGAGGGTAGTCTCTTTCCATTAGCTAAAATAATTTGGCATTCAGCAATGTGCAGGAATTGCACTAGAGTATCATCTTATCGGGTTCAATTCTGGGTTGCAAAGCATTAGCCGTTTGACTGCGTTTTTATTGCTGGGATGCAGTATAAATTCAAATTTTGAAGGTTACGTTTTAGTGTTCAGGTTAGTGTTAACTGTTTGGGCAAAGTAAAGGCCTGTACGCTGTATAAGAAAACTGCATGAAACGTTCTATACGAGGAATGATCTGTCAACTGTTTTGGTAGTATAGTGCTTTCAACAGGCAAGTTTGACTATTCAGACAAAAAAAAAAAAATTAAGGTGCAAGCTAGAAAATATTTATTGTAAGTGAACACAACAATTTTTGTTCAATATGTACAGTAGTCATACGAAAGAAATCAAATAGAAAATACTGTGCGTGATCCGAAGCAAAGAACGACCCGGAAGGTGCTAGTACGTCATTATGTTTGCCTTTGTCATTCAAAAATTTTCGTACAAGTTAATAGAACTTTCAGTTACATCATCATCATAGCTTCGTAGAAAATCAGACAATCATTTGTCTGATTTTCCTCATAGTGTGTACTAGGCTTTAGGTAATGGGCAATGGATGGAGACAAGTACACAGGTGCACATTCTGTAGCTTGTGTGTGATTCCAAATACCCTGTGCTTAGATCAACTGCACCAAATAACATCACTAGATAAGTTCCCATTAAAGGTTGAATATATTTTTATTATATTTTCAGAGAGAGGATTACCAGTAATAAACATATATACATTACATTAAAAAGGTATTCGGATCAAACATATCCAAAAACGTCAAAGAGCCAGCATTATAAATGCATTGCAAAGCGTGTGATTGGACCTGCCTTAACATCAGTACAATCTTTATCCAATCAATATCGTTGGTAAAAAATGCAAATAAAGTTCAAGGATGGTATAATAATCACGTTTGAAGCAAGTGAAAGGTCCATGTTGTGCCTGGAAATGATTATAGAATGAAAATCAAAGTAAAGATGGGTAGAGAAGGGAAAGGCAAAAGGAGGAAAAAAAATTGCAAAAGTAAAGGAATTTTTTTTTTGATAATTGCACATTTATACTGGACTTATGCTGATGTCTGTAGGTTATATAGCACTTCATTACGCGGTGTATTGGTGTAATGTTAGTACTTTGGTCCCACTTGCTGTCATGTACTTGCTTTTATGGAGTTGTAGTGCTGAATCAAATGTTTTAAAAGATTCCTGATTCACCCCTTGTCCTCATTTGCACCTTCAAACCCACACCCATTGTGCACACAGGAAAAGCAGACTAATGCTGTAAATGCAATAATAGATTCTTGAAAAAACAAATAAAATCTAACAGTTTCCTGCATCCATGCCTACAGCCACCACCTGCCAGGCTATTGTGTTCTGACCGTTGCTGGTGGCAACTGTTGGTATACTCAGCGACTGCATCCAATCAGATTCAGCTGCCCTGTTTAGCTGGTAGTTTTCCATCTGGCTCATTCAATTTCTTTGTTGGTGTCCACTATTTTGCCAAAAGTATTGGGCCAGCCCTCCAAATCATGTGATTCAGGTGTTCCAATCACCTCCATGGCCACAGGTGTATAAAATTAAGCACTTAGGCGTGCAGACTGCTTCTACAAACATTTGTGAAAGAATGGGTCGCTCTCAGGAGATCGGTGAATTCAAGTGTGGTACCGTGATAGGTTGCCATCTGTGCAATAAGTCCATCCATGACATTTCCTTGCTATTAAATATTCCACGCTCAACTGTTAGTGGTACTATAACAAAGTGGAAGCAACTGGGAAGAACAGCGCATGCTGAACTGCACAGTGCACAGAAGTCACCAACTGTCTGCCAGAGTCAATAGCTAAAGACCTCCGAACATTGTGTGGCCTTCAGATTAGCACTACAACAGTGTGTAGAGAGCTTCATGGAATGGGTTTCCATGGACAAGCAGCTGCATCCAGGTCATGTAACCAAGTGCAATGCAAAGCGTCCGATGCAGTGGTGTAAAGCACGCTGCCACTGGATTCTATAGCAATGGAGACATGCTCTCTGGAGTGACAAATCACGCTTCTCTGTCTGGCAATCTGATGGATGTGTCTGGGTTTGGCGGTCGCCAGTAGAACGGTACTTGCCTGACTGCATTGTTCCAAGTGTAAAGTTTGGTGGAGGGGGATTATGGTGTGGGGTTTTTACATGGGTTGGGCTTGGCTCCTTGGTATGCTGATGCCTTAAGAGTTCCCTTCACTGCAACTAAGACATTTTGGACAATTTCTTGCTTCCAACTTTGTGGGAACAGATTGGGGATGGCCCCTTCCTGTTCCAACATGACTGCACACCAGTGCACAAAGAAGGTCCATAAAGACATGAATGAGCGAATTTGGGGTGGAGAAACTTGATTGGCCTGCAGAGAGTCCTGACCTCAACCCAATAGAACATTTTTGGGATGAAGACTGTGAGCCAGGCCTTCTTGTCCGATGACAGTGCCTGACCTCACAAATGTACTTCTTGAAGAATGGTCAAACCTTCCCATAGACACACTCCTAAACCTTGTGAACGGCCTTCCCAGAAGAGTTGAAACTGTTATAGCTGCAAAGTGCGGGGCCAACTTAATGAACCCTACGGACTAAGACTGGGAAGTCATTAAAGTTCATGTGTTTAAAGGCAGGCAGCCCAATACCTTTGGCAATATAGTGTATGTCTAGTAGGAAGGGAGCAGACAGGACCACCCAGTAAGCAAATTTTGGTTGGTTTAGCAGGAACTGGTTGAAATTTGCACCATGTATGGCCCGCCTAAAACACTGTTTTCTAGAATTCAGCACAGTCTATAGATACCAGGTCCACCGTTCTGTAAAACTTCCAATTGGAGAACATTTAGAATGGCCATAGAAAACAGATCATTTGAGGATTTGACCATGGTAACTTTCCAACCTAGCTTGCGATGATAAACTGTGGTGCACATACAGCTAAAGCATTACACATTTTCTTTATGAGAATATGAACTGTTTCACAGTCTCCGTTTCTCCTGCATTGGGTCCGTACATTGCCAGTAAAATGTAACTGCTTACTGGAGTTTGTTTTTTAAAGGAAACCTTTTATGGGTGGCCATTGCTGCGTTTATTCTTACAAAGCGAGTTGCCTGGAGTTCTGGCTTCACTGTCTGCATGCTGGTTTCAGGACATAGAATCAGTACTTCAGTCAGCAGCTAAAATGTTTAGAAGTTCATGAAAGTTTTCACTCAGCACGTCTCCTTTAAAATGACGATTATGTATTAATGTCCCCGTGTACACAGGTCCTGATTCTTCCACATAGAGGAATGAATAGGACAGGCTGGTAAGGATAGGTTTCTTTTAAAGCACTGGGGTGAGGAGCTAGAAACTGAGGCTTCTGGGGGCACATACTATAAATAAGTGTTGTACATTGGATGTATGCACATTGCTTATCAGGGGACAATTAATGGCTCTTCTGGCTCAGCGACCTCTTAATTGTGGGATATAAATAGATTCTGACAATGACCAATGGAATTAGATCAGTTTCCTGATCCAATCATTAATTACTTGGATTTACTGTCATCTGTAGTGAAGAGAGACTTCCAGTCTATATGAAGTACTGGGGCTGAGGAATGGAAACAGGAAGAGAATAAATAGGTGTTGCCCCGGGCAATTCCTTTTTTTTTTGTGTGTGGAAGATGACAAAACAATCGAGTTGGTTGCTGTGGTCCAGTAGACTTTATGAAGCTCCTGTCTTGTAAATTTGCCTGCACGGCTTTACATTGTATGGATCCACTGGACCCAGATGGAGGTGAGAGGATATTGCCAGTGATTTCTACATTGTTAGTGGCCATTAGTCTCTCTCATCCTCTGGGGTATCAGGACGTCGCAATTCCCAGAATGTACCTCTACCAGCTATTGTCCTTGTAGATTTACAGCTTCCAGCATGCCTCAATGGAATATCTTCTGTATGTGGAAAACTGGAAATCCCAACAGGTCCCACTGCCTTACCTGGCGTCTCTGGTGCACAGTTCCAAGCTCAGTAAACCCACTTCCTACACAAACATACACATCCACCCCACCACAGGTAAGAATCACACAAAGGGGAGTGCCTTTGTATCTCCCTGGTATCTCAATCTGGTTCTCTCCGCTCTTTAGAAGTTTATCAGGGATTTCCCTTTTCTGACCCTAATCAGTACATGGCCTTTCTGATGGTGGTCACCTCTGTGAGGATAGTCTGAGTTAGTGGTCTTATCCTGTAAGGCATCTTTAAGGCCTTCTTTCTCCCAAAGGTGGGCTCTGATTTCCACCTTAATCAGGATTTTGCCCTTTCTTATGTCATGCTGTAAATGATCTCTCCACTTCTGGTCTGGACGTGGTGCATGTGGTTGATTATTTACCTCTCAGCTACTGCCTGAAGTTTCCTTCAAAGGTCTCCCTGCCTCTTGTTCCACCATGTAAGAAGAGTTGAAATTGAAGCGCCACACCACTGCTAAGAGGTCTAGATATAACTTTATTCTTGAAATATACCCCTGACCTTTAATGGAATAACCAGTGTGTTTCAGGGGTCTAAGTGCCCCCTTCATCAGGGCTTGACTGGCAACAAAGTGAACTGACCAGAAGTGAACTAAACCTACAATGGTGTTTATTCCAGTGCAAATTAAAAGCAAAGGCCTGATCAGCAGCTTGTTTGGTTGCCAAGTTGGCCGGTGACAGATCCCATCTATCTTAAGCAGGCTGGGTTTTGGCTTTTCTATAACAATGTTCATTCATTCTCTTCTTTTTTTTTTTTTTTTTTTTTTTTTTTTTTTTTTTTTTTTTTTTTTTTACATCAGCATGCAGCCAGGCAGTTTCTTGATGAAGAGGCTGAACTGTCCTCAGAAGAAGCAGAGAATGTATCGTCAGATGAAAGTGTCGAGTCTGACAATGCACAGGACACATCTTTGGTGGAGTTCCTCAATGACAACACTCAGCTGTCCCAGGCCTTAAATGGTAAGTCAGACATGGAAGTGTTTTGTTTTTAGAAAGTTCTTTTGTCTCATATGCCATCTTGGACTTTTGTTTTATCATTTCCTGTTCCAAAGCTGGCTGCCACTGCTGATGTGTCTTGAAAATGAAAACTAACATTGATGATTTCCTTGTGAAAATGCTATGTGCTTAGCTGCCTCAATACTTTTCAGTTGCTGGCCCATAACAAGCATTCAGCCAGTAATGTTAGTTATCAGAACTCATGGTCTCCTTACTTGTTTATGCCATGTGGTGGCTCCAAGCATTAAGGACAGGACAGTTTTGACAATTATGCAATTACTATTTAAATTAAGTGCCCTATAAAAGATCACTGAGAGCATCCAACATGGTCAAATGACCCAATTCAAACTAATTATAAACATTTAGGGCCTTTTCTATGGTGTCTGATTGCTTTGTATGTGTTTAAGAGTATTATTTAATATTATGTAATGACTACTTCTCCTCCTTCCATCCTGCACATGCTGGATACATGTGAATCAGCAATGTAAAGCTCACCTTCCATAATGCAATGGATGCTTTCCATTGGTTTACTTTGTTCTTCTCATTGAAAACACAGCTTAAAGACACATAGCTCGTGAAGATGTATTTTGCTTGGTGTCTTAGTTAAGGCTACGTTGCGTTATAAGCAAGGAAGCTTAGACCTCTGTGGTATATTAATGTGCTTTTACTAAACAAACATTCTGTACATACAATTATAGGAATACCATACAAGACTGGCAGATTTGTTTTTAGAAAGTTTTTTTGTCTCATATTCCATCTTGGACTTTTGTTTCATTATTTCCTGTTCTAAAACTGGCTGTCACTGCTGATGTCTCTTGAAAATGAAAACTAACATTGATGATTTCCTTGTGGAAATGTGCTTAGCTGCCTCAATACTTTTCAGTTGCTGGCCTATAAAACACACAAAATGCTACCTACTTCTGCAAAACTATGTTCTGTATACAGTAGTAAATGTTACTTAGTTCCCATTATAGAGGCTTCCTAATCTCCGTAGGCAACACGGACCCCAGGCTTGCTGTAAAATGGTTGCAGGAGATTGGACTGAAAGCATCTTTAGGTTACTGAACTGTCAACTGAAATACAACAATGGGTATCTATGTGACCATTGTATCCAGTGGCATTTGTTTGAGGAGTATCCCTCAAAGAAACTTGATGGTTGTCTCCAAGACAAACAGATTCTTCCATGTACAGAAAAGTCTGAATAAATATCAGAAAAACTATATATGTGTGTGTGTGTGTATAATATATATAAATATATATATATATATATATATCACTCAAACTCAGCACATCATGTACTCTAGGCTGCTTTCATAATGCATAGCAGATTCATATTTTCAACCATGCCTTTTTTAAGACTGCACTCTTAAAACAAGTGAATGTTGACCATGGAGAAGCTCTACAGAAGGTGGTTTTCTTTTAAATATGTTCTGAATGGGTAGAGGAGTTGGTGGGTCAGTAGTATTGGTTACCTAAGTCTGTTAGCTGGAGCTAAAATCTCATGGTGGAGATGTGGCGAAGTTCTTTTAGCTGAGCGAGAAAGCACTCCTATTTTGGCCTTGCAAAGCTTTAAGCGTTCAAGCTGAGGACTTTAGGGACTGCCATCAGACCCATCATCCTTACCCCCTGCTTTTAGTTTCAAGTGATAACCAGATGATTTGTCTTCTGTTTCAGACTCTGAGATGCACGGAATATATATGAAATCCATACGCAGTCCAGCAGTTGGAAATAAATATAAACTGACACATAAGAGACACAATTTGTCTGTGTTCTCCCAGGTGAGTAGAGACCATCACCCCGGGGAGGGGTTTTTGAACAAGAAGTTTCCTTTTCCATTTCATGTGTAGTGGAATGAGTTGAAATAGGGGTTAATTTGGCATATCTAGGTGGTTTTAAAAGTTATTTATTGTTGTATGTGCCTTCAAGTCCTGGTGGACCTGCAGTACTCAGCATAAATGAGTACACCCCAACAGATTTGTCAGAAAACATTTACTTTCCTTTCAGAATCAACATGTTCTATGGGACGCTATAATACAAAATAAATGTGGGCCACTGATTGCAAACAAGATTTGATAATTTGCTCACACAAAAAAAAAAAAATTCAAGACCATGTTACAAAAATGAATACACCCCTGTCAGGGCTCCGGGTATGACCAGAGGTATGTGAACTGATGCAGGGAAACGCAGGCTTCAGATATGTGATACACAATATAATTTATTAATACTAACAATACAAACGCACTGCAATACTAAAACATAAAACAGTGCAAACGAACCAAACCACCCACAGATAACAATACATACAATGCAAGCGTAGTCAGGCAGGCCTGGGTCAATAACAATCGGGCAGGTAGGAACAGGAGGAGCAGGCAGAGAGTAGTCAGGTCACGAGCCGGGTACAGCAACTAACGGGCAGGTAGGTACAGGGGGTCAGGCAGAGAATGGTCGGGGTCACAAGCCAGGGATCAAAAAGGAGAAGTCAGCAGAGGTCAGGATCAGGCAGGGTCAGCAATGAGTCAGTCAGGCAGGAACAGGAACAGGAATGCAGGTAACAAGATACAGGGGCCCATAGAAAAACACACACCAAGGCACAGACTGCAGGTCTGGCCATCCCTTAAATACACCTCTGTAATCAGCTTCAGGTGTTTTGGCTGACTGCAGGGTTGAGTTTCTGATTGAGAGCACCCGCTGGCCAGCCCTGGTACTGCAGCCCAAAAGGCAGGTGAGTCCCACCATTACTGGCAAGTCCATTCCTGACAACCCCAATGAAAGTCTTAAGAGCAAAGCTAAATTTTATACAACAAAATCCTAATTAACAAGAATTCAACTACATGTGAGTGCGAGTCTAATTATTCATTAAACAGATGTCCAGCAGACATTTGAATATAAAAGGGTGTTACTTAACAAAGAAAACCCTTCCTGTTTCATGCTGCCAGCAATGGCACCACATAGAAGAGAAATGTCACAAGGCCTGAGAAAGAAAATAATTTCTTTACACAAGAAAGGTGAAGACTACAAGAAGATCAGCAAAAGCTTTACTTATCAGTCAGAATACTGTAGCAAAAGTGGTGAACTGCATCCATCTCACAGAGACATCCAGGCCGTCCACAGAAGTTAACACCTCAACAGAAGAGTCTTCTGATGAGAAGGGTTGAAGAAAATCGCCATGCAAGTTCATTGCAGTTAGCTAAAGAAGAATGTCAAACTGGGGTGATTGTTTCCCATGACACAATACGATCTACACTGCAGAGGAATGGCATGCATGGGTGTTGTCCATGAAGGAAGCCTCTCCTAATGCCCATGCACAAAAAAGCCCACCCATTTTCCAGGGCCCATACTGGTAAAGAAGAAGACTACTGGGACTCTGTACTCTGGAGTGATGAGACCAAAATAAATATTGATTGCTTCAAAACTGTATGGTGTTGCAAAGGTGAAGAGCACAAAGAGGTAGAGGTAGAAATTGATGGGAGATCAGAAAGTTTGCATTGTCACCAGAACTGGACTGGTTCTATAGGCATGTGATAAACAAGCAGTCTCACCAGAAATGTCTACGTTTTATATATATATATATATATATCTCCGCAAATAAAGACCTGATACTTACAGATTCTTAGACTGGCCATAGATACGCAATGACAGCCATGAGGCTAAAGCTGGTCATACATGGATCAAAATTCATCTGGTTCAGCAGGGACCAGACTAATGTCAATCTATGCATGGGCAGGCTGATTTATCCGATCGACTTGTGTACAACCAGCCCGTTGGAAAACTTTCTGGTGGTGCTGATCAGTGTATTCTGATGGCAGGAAAGTCTCCCCATTGTCAGATTACTAATAGAACAGCGGGAATGATTCCCCCATCCACCTCTTGTGTGGATGGGGAAATTGAGTCATTTTCATTCGTTCAACCGGTTGGTTGAACAAAAAAAAAAAAGAAAAAAAACGACTTGTATATTGCCAGCCTAAGTCGCAACTGATCATGTGAACTATGCCAGTTGGCAGTTAATGCGAACTCACCTGGGTCCTCCAATTCCTTGTTTTGTAGCATTTGCTAGGTGGGTTACACATGGATAACTGACAACTGTAGTTGGACAGCAAAGGTGCATGTCTATTCCATTATGTTCAATATGTGACAGATGTTAACTGTAGAAATCAATACAATTCTGGTATCTTTTAAAATGACGATAAGTGATAGCCTTAATCTCCAAAATAATCCATACACATCCACTTCATAATGGCCCTGTAATCTATGTTTCATAATCCTTGTGACATCCTTTGAGATCTCCCAAACTTCTCCTTTTCCCTTCACTTCCATTTGTTTGGAACAAGCATTGCAAGTTTTTTTGTGGTCACGTGCCATGCTCTATGTATACTACAAATCCTATAATCTCTAGGCCATCTTGGGAGCAAGCATGAGACAGTGGCTATTTTTCTACATACAATGAGACCATGGAGAACAAATGTAGTAATTATCTAACAGGGAATCCGTTCACAGCAGCAAAAAAAGGAATTTGAAGATTTGGAGGAGGCTGAGAGCAATAGAAGAGACTTTTTTTTTTTTTTTTTGCATTAAGAATACAGACTTGAATAGAATTTCCTTTTTTTCTTTTTAAACCAGAGTTTAGTGTCTCGTTAAGTCAACTGTAGATTCGATCACCATTTTCATCTGCATGCATGTGAGTAGAAAAGTACTGAAACCAGGCAGCTATTATGTAAGAGAACATCAGCAATGGTATCCCCTGCATTCCCTTCTCTACAGATGTCCTTTCATGCTTTGTCTGTCTTTGCCTCTTAGATTCCTGAACAAGATGAGGACTACATGGAGGACAGTTTCTGTGTCCAAGAGGACGATGAAGAAGAGGAGGAAGAGGATTCCAGCACTGAGGAAGTAACAATGGACCTCAACCTCTGGCAGCAGGACAGTTTTGTTGGTGGCCGTAGACAATACTGCACCAGGCGCCAGCTAAAGCTTAAAGGTACAAAGTCAAAACAATCCAAGGCCCAACCTACAGAAAAGAGGAGAAGAATTATCATCCACAATGATTCTAGTGATGAGGAAACCAAAGCTACTTCTGACCAGCAAACATCCAAAGCCAATACTTCAAGGAAGAGCTGTCCAGCAGTGCTTTGGCAGAAGAGGATGCATGAACTGACTTTACCCTTGAAGACTGTGGCTGCTTTGAAAAATATGGAATACTTTGATTTACCTTTGAAGGATCGATGCCAAAACAGAATGAATGCCCAGGCTTCCCTGTCCGAAGAGCTGGACTTTCAGACAGAAGCTCGGTCCTCATTCAATACCTCTAAACCTCGAATTTCAAGTAGTAATCTCTCTCCAGACAAGGTAATGTTATCTTTTATTTTTGCTGAAGTCATCAGAGTTTAGGTGGAAATCCAGACAACACTTTCTATTTTGGATAGAGTAGGGAAGAATTAGAACCTCTGTCAGACCTTTAGTGGGTCTGTATAACTGTTGTGTCTCTTGATCAGAAGGGGACATGTACCCAACAGGAAATCGCAGGAAAGCTCATTTCTTAACAGCAAAACTTTCATCCCCATTGGGAGATTTTCCTCATCAGAGGTCAACTGTGTAACATTCTTTAATTTCACATTACTTTCAGGATGGGAATGTGGGAGAATCTCTCCTTGGGGACATGGCAGAGGTTCTGACTCTTCCCCAATCTGAGCAAAATTGGGGAATAAAAAAATCTGAAGTTTATCTTTAATTCTTGAGAACTGCCACATGGAAAAAACAAGGCTTCTGCCCTGAGTAATCACATAATTACATTTTCTTAAGCTTGTTTAAAGCTGCAAATAAAGAAACAGCCCTGAGTGCTTCTGGATCTTCTCTCTTACCGGGACTGGTGTCAACAAGCCTGAAAGTAGAATTCCAGCTTAACCCAAACTCTTAAAGCACCCCATTGTCCCCTCCTAACTAACCCGTGTAAGAAGGATGTAGGTACTGCTGCTTCTGTCTGGTCACGTGATCTGGCTACCCTGTGTCAGCCAGCAGGGCTTCAGGGGAGAGGAGAGAATGCTTAAATGTATGGGCCATTAAAGCCTATGGGTGACGTCACTTCAGGTTTTGGACCGTTCTCTTCTCTCTTCAGCCTCTGCTGGCTGACACGGGAGATCAAGTGACTGGCCTGAAGCTAGGTGAGATAGGTAAGTATACATCTTTCTTTCTGAGATTAGCAAGCATAGCTGGGGTTAGAGTTCAGCTAGAATTCGAACTTGTGTTCCATGCATCCCTATGTGGACAGTCTCATTTATGTCAATTGGGATGCAGCGGCTGCATGGACACAGCTGTGCAGGTGTGTGTCCTTGAACGCATACTGTATGCATTCAGGGACATGTACCAGAATGGAGAAAAAACAACAAAACAAACAGATGGTGCACTGGCCTAGTGCATTGCCTTAAAAAATTTATTTAATAAATGATAAAAGTAGGTATTTTACGTACATCGGTATACTACTTGCCTGTCAGCAATGGGGACTGTGGAATTCCAACAGGCTAACGCGTTTCCTCAGAGCCGGGCTCTGAGGAAGAGGTAAGTCCTTGAAACGTGCTAGCCTGTTGGAAGTCCACAGTCCCCATTGCTGACAGGCACGTAATGCGGATTGGACAGAATTGTTATGATGTGCCTTTGACTGTATTGTCGTTTTGTGAGTACAATACCTACTTTTATAATTTATTAAGGTAATGCGCTAGGCCGGTGTGCCCTGTTTGTTTGTTTATTTCTCCATTCAGTACATTTGGACTTCCCCGGTCTATTGAAGGCAGCAAGGCGTGCACATTCCAGGACATTCGTGATGTGGTCCTAATCTATACTGAGCCCATCCCTAAGCTCAGGAGGATTTGGGTTTGCTGTTTCTTCACATGTACCAGAATGGCTGTCATAAGAGAGCAGCAGCTGCATTCCAATTGACATAGTTACATAGTTAGTCTTGGCTGAAAAAAGACAAAAGTCCATCCAGTTCAACCAAAAAAAAAAATTAATAAACTCTAATCCTATACCCATAATTGTTCCAATTTGCTCCTGCAGGGCAAAAAATTCCTTCCAGATCTCCCGAGAGGCAATCAGATATTCCCTGGATCCACTTTACCTATAAATGTTAGCATCCTTGGCTGTAAAGGAGGGTTCAGTTCTACTCTGCAAGCATGGCAATGCTACAGAATGTTAGGCCAGTGTCTTTCTTCATGCGTATAAAAGTGTTTAAAGTTTATAAAATCAAGGGAAATATTACTCTCTTAAAGTAATTGGAAAGGTTTGAATTTTTATATATTTAAAATAACAAACATGTTACATTTCCCGGTTCTGTGCAATAGCTTTGCCTTCTCTTTTGGGGTCCCCTGCTGGCACTCCTGACTCCTCCTTCCTGCCAGATGCCCCCATAGCAAACCACTTTGCTTGTGCAGGCTCACTCCTGAGCCCTGCTGTGTGTCCATTGACGCACAGAGCATGGCTTGGCCCCACACCCTTCTCTCTTCTCATTGTCTGTGATTGACAGCAGCAGGAACCAATGGCTACTGCTATCTCTCAGCCTATGAGGAAAGAGAGCATCTGCTCGTGTGCACAGCAGTGGATCGAGATCAGGCTTCTGTAAGTATAAAGGGGGGGGCTGGGGTGGGGGGAGCTGCACCTAATGCTGAGAATGTATAAAGGTGAAAAAAAACCTTCAGCTTTTAAAACCACTTTTAAACTCCGATTGGAATAAATTGAGTGTTTTCTGAATGACATGTGCAGCCTACCAATTGGTTTTGTTAACTCTTTAAGTGTCACTTGCAGAGTGATTTGATAAGACTTTGTAATTTATATGTGATAAAACCCCGCAGCTGGAAGATACCTCTGTGAAATCTGGCGGCGACTCTACGTGGATGGCCTCCTCTATGAATGAGTCCTCCATCGGGAAGGTTCTTGGATCAGCAGTGAGCAGCAATGGGCTCTGCATCCTAGCAGACAGCCGGGAAATCTCTTCTGGTCCTGAGGTCATCTCCTGCCTGAAGAGCACTCATGGGGTGCGGGTGGAAATCTGCTCCCTGGGGGGCTGTGATTACATTGTCAGTAACCGCTTGTCTGTAGAACGGAAATCCCAGTCAGAATTCTCTAACTGCACAAACAGAACTAAACTGGCTGAACGGATCCAACATCTCCGGAGCATGTTTGACCGGGTCTGTCTCATCGTGGAGAAGGATCGCGTGAAACCAGGTGTGATATACACAGTGTGTGAACTCATCCAAACGCCTTCTACCCGTATGGAGTGATAAAGAAAGCTTTATTGCTTTTGGGTTCGTTTTTATTTTGATTGCGTTTTTTCCTTTTTTTTCATACTTTTACAACCACTTTAGCCCCAAGCCTATTCTGACATTCCTCTCATACTTGTAAAAATCAGCATATTTTTCCCTAGAAAATTACTTGGAGCCTCCAAACATATTAATTATATAATGTTTGGAGGCTCTAAGTAATTTTCTAGGGAACAAAAAGCAGATTTTTACATGTATGAGAGGAATGTCAGAATAGGCTTGGGGCTAAAGTGGTTTAAAAAAAAAAAAAAAAAAAAAAAAAATATATATATATATATATATATATATATATATATATATATATATATATATATATATATATATATATATATATATATATATATATATATATATATATAAAATAAAAAAATATATAATTGTTTTTTTTTTATAAATATACACACTTTTTTTTTTTTTTTTTTCAAAGTAGAGGCCCTAGAGAATAAAATGGTGGGCATTGCATTTTGTTTGTGGCACACTATTTTCGCAGCGGTTTTTCAAATATATTTTTCTTGGAAAAAATACACTTTCATGAATTTTAATGCACAAAAACAAGTTTCCCAATTGTTTCGTAAAATGTAATAGATGATGCTACACAGAGTAAATAGATGTCACTCTTTAAAATTGCTTGTGAAATTATTATTATTATTATACAGGATTTATATAGCGCCAACAGTTTGCTCAGCGCTATGGTGACAAACTACAGTGACAAACTACAGTATCTAAAAAAAATCTCCATGGGTGACACTTTAAAGGCCTTTACAGGTTACCAGTTTTGCGTTACACAGGAAGAATGGTGCTAGAATTATTGCTCTTACTCTGATGTTCATGACCATACCTCACATGTGTGGTGTGATTGCAATTTATGTATGCGTGCGAGCATGGTGTGACGGGTGCTTTACAAAGTTTTTTTTTTTGGTTTTTTTTTTACACTAACTTTTATTTATGTATTACTGTCACAAGGGACGAACAACACCCCATGTGATGGCAATAATGAGTGACAGGTCCTCTATACTGATAAATTATTATTTGACCCCAGATCTCTACTCTGCCCTTTAAAAGCATCTCATCAAAACAAGATTGGTTTGATCAGACGCTTGTATAAGCCACGAATGATGTTCTTAATACATTCTGGTGAAGCTGGAAGTGACAAAATTCTCATTGCTTCTGGCTTCTTATACCGCAGAGATGATCAGGGAAAATCTGGTGCCCTAGTTCACCTTAATGGTAAGCCACACAACCACTGGCTTCAGTCCCGGAGGGTGACCCCTCTTCCGCCACCTGTAAAAGCGATCCAGCAGCTAATTAGCCGCTAGGATCACTTTTATATTAACCCCTTCATGCTGATGTAACACAAATATGCAGCCTCACAGAACTTGACTTTTTTCCGTGGGGCCGCATAGTTGTGTGTCTCTCTCTCTCTCTCTTCCCCCCCCTCTCCCCCCCTCTCTCCCCCCCCTCCCCCCTCCCCCTCTCCCCCCCCCCCCCCCCCCTCTCTCCCCCCCTCTCTCCCCCCCTCTCTCTCCCCCTCTCTCTCCCCCTCTCTCTCCCCCTCTCTCTCCCCCTCTCCCTCTCTCTCCTCCTTGCATAGAGGGGGAAAAAACAAAAAACCTGTTTGTTAAAAATAAATACTAAAAAATAAAGAAAAAAATATTTAGATCAAGGTTCGATCTAGTTCAGTGCCAGGGTTAGTGTTTGGGTCAAGGTCAGGATTTTTTTTTTTTAATTGGTATCAGTGTCAGTGTGTTTTAGGTAAAAACAAAACCCCCCAAAAAAACAAAATGCGCACTATTGTTTCTGGGCTGCTCTTTGGTGGTAGGTTATGGTAGTAACAAGAAACACAGCTAAAGTTTAGAAAAAAAAGGATTTTTGTTTTCTTTACAATTGTGGGCCAGTTTTCCTTTGATAATAAAAAAAAAATATCAGGAGATATCCATTACTATTTACCACCAAATGAAAGCCCAATTGGTCCTGAAGAAAACAAGGTATAATCCACATGGATGTATGAAGTAGTTGTGATGATATGTACGGTTTTACGAACACATGTCAACGTTGCAAGACTGTGCTTAAACGTTAAGACGTGTTTTACCTTTAGGCGTGAAGGGGTTAAAGCCAATCCTCTGCAATAAAAAGATACCGGGATGATGCCTGTTATACCCCATTTCAACCTGGACTCATACCAGTACATCGCGGAGACTGAAGTGGTTAATTTGTGTGTGTGTATTTATTTACACACTGTATATACTGTATATATCAGAGCCATCCAATAAGGGGCAAAACACTTATGTAATTATAAGCTTGAGCTACTGAGCTCTGTGACAAGCTTTTTGGAGCAAAGACAGAAAAAACCACATGGAAGGTAGCCTAAAACATCACTTGGCGGCGCAAAAGAGAATACATACTGTTAATACACCAAATTGCATATTTCTGCAATTTAAAATCTATTTTTTATTTTATTATGATTAGGACTAAATAAAATCAATGTACAAAGCTGCTACACATTCCCTTTAAGCCCAGTTTGTTTTGGTGGTTGGCTTTGCTGAACTAGTGAAATGACTGTCAGTCCAAGAGTTGGGTTCCCTTAGTAATGTTCATTTCTGTTCTGCAGGAGAAACCTCTCGGCCCTGGCAGAGAACAAAGTATTATGACAGCACTCTGTCTTCTTTAATCAGCGCCGGGGTCCAGGTCCTCTTCAGCTCCAGCCAGGAGGAGACAGCGGGGTTACTGAAGGAACTGTCCTCTCTGGAGAGGAGGAAGAACATGGCCATCGCAGTCCCCACTCAGGTGACCAACCACAAGCAAGAAGCACTGAACTTCTATCTGTCTATCCCCAATGTCAGCTACATCACTGCCCTCAACCTCTGCCACCACTTCAGCTCAGTCCGACACATGGCCAACAGGTGAGTCTATGCTATCAGAGGATGAGCTCATCCATCACTCTGCCGTCTCCTCCTATCAGCGTACAACTTGCATTGCAGCACACATCATTGGCTTCTCTGAGCTATGCTGTACAGTAGGCAGCAAGAGGCTGATTATTAATATACTGGATTTATATAGCGCCAACAGTTTGCACACAGCACTTTACAACATGAGGGCAGACAGTACAGTTACAATACAGGAGAAATCTGCTCGTTTGAGCTTACAATCAAGTCCAATTCAGGTACTTAAAGGGGAACTAAACCCATCGATGTAACCATTTCCAAAACCATTTTCCCAGAGCTTGCCGTGAATATCATCTGGCACATTTGCACAAATGAACTGTCAAAGCCATCAAATGGTTGGTGTCATACCTGATCACATGTGCAGCACCATGGCAATGGCAGATCAAACCGAGGCTAAGATGGCAGCTTATTTGGCAGTAAAGGATATGGAGGGTTTAGTTCCACGTTTTAGAAAAAAAAAATACACAATGTATTGATTGGGGCAGAGCAGTGGCTAAGTGGTTGGCACTAGCAGCACTAGGGTCATTGGTTTGAATCCCAACCACCCAATTTGGAGTTTGCATGTTCTCCCTGTGCCTACATGGGTTTCCTCCAGGTACTCCGGTTTCCTCTCGCACTCCAAAAACATGATGCTAGGTTCATTGGCTCCTGTCTAAATTGTCCTTAGTATGTGTATGTATGAATGTGAGTTAGGGACCTTGGACTGTACGCTTCTTGAGGGTTAGGGACTGATGTGAATGTACAATATATATGTAAAGTGCTGTGTAAATCAATGGCGCTATATAAGTACCTGAAATAAATATTAAAGCCAGACCAAATGTACACATTAATGCAGCTCCGTAATTTAACGTTCACAAGAAAAACATGAACGCTTCTGTTGCTGCCCTATGCCTCTCTAGCAATGCTAGTTTCCTGGTTGTTTGCTGATCCTCTGCCTGAAGTACGTGAAGTTACTAATCCAGAAAAAGTAGTAAGAGTTTCTGACGCCTTATATGTATCCTTGCTCTGGATTCATTCCCCAGAAAGTACTGAAGCCAAAGGATCACCATGACAGTTGGGTCACTAACATTTTCAGAACAGGTCTTCAGCGGCAGCGTCTGCATTTCTGTCATGACCAGTTTTCTTCAGCATTTCAGTTCACAGAACTGAACAAATTTACCCAACAAGCAGCTGGATTGTCTATGATGTCCATACCAGCCGGGTTTTCTTCTCAATCTGCACCTCACTTTAATATATAGAAAGATCCTGTCCCTGAGTCAGGCATTTTCTGTTATGGGGTGACAACACTTTCCCCGTCTCCCAGTTGCTCTCGTGTTGTCACCCTGTCAGATACGTTTTTCAGTAGAGACAATATGCAGCCATTCCACTGTGGTTGTGGGAGATCAGCAGGACGGAGATGGAAATAAGGTGACCGTGTATTTAAAAGGGAAAAACACATGGCATCTGTTTGCTACAGCACTCTGTATACAAGCTAAATGTCATCTTGGGGTTTTAAAGGGAATGCATTGCCCTGGTTACACATGCATCGGTGCCATTAACCACTTGCCCTCCTGAGGATTTACCTCCCCCCTTCCTGACCAGGTCATTTTTTGTATTTCGATACTGCGTTACTTTAACTGACAATTGCGCGGTCATGCAACGCTGCACCCAAATGAAATTTACCTCCTTTTTTTCCCCACGAATTGAGTTTTATTTCAGTGGTATTTGATTGCCTGTGCCGTGTTATTTTTTGCGACAATTTTGAGCAAAAAAACTATATTTTGGACTTTTTGCTATTAAACATGTCCAGTAAAAAAATTTTAAATCAAATTTCATCATAAATTTCGCCAGACCCCACCCAGAAATGCGAAATCACGTGATTTTGTGCTCCCCTGCCCCCCTGTAGCAGTATATTTGCTATAGGGCAGCGCAGAAGCGATTAAAGTGGTTCTAAGGCCTAAACCTTCTTTTACCTTAAATACTACGAATAGTGAATCACTTGTACTTGATATGTGCTCCTACCAGTAATATTAAGGCAAAATGCATGAAACACCAAACAATGAAAAGTCTTTTCATGACGAAATCCCAATTATGATGAACAGCCGTGTCCACAATAATCCTCCACATGTGTAGTGAAATAGAGACTCTGGTACTGAGGTCAGGCAGTGATGTCAGACAAGAAGGCCTGGCTCATAGTCTCCACTCTAATTCATCCCAAAGGTGTTCTGTGGGGTTGAGGTCAGGACTCTGTGCAGGCCAGTCAAGTTTCTCCACCCCAAACTCGCTCATCCATGTCTTTATGGACCTTGCTTTGTGCACTGGTGCGCAGTCATGTTGGAACAGGAAGGGACCATCCCCAAACTCTTCCCACAAAGTTGGGAGCATGAAATTGTCCAGAATGTCTTGGTATGCTGATGCCTTACGAGTTCCTTTCACTGGAACTAAGGAGCCAAGCCCAACCCCTGAAAAACAACCGCACGCCATAACCCACCCTCCACCAAACTTTACACTTGACACTTGACACAATGCAGTCAGGAAAGTACCGTTCTGGCAACCACCAAACCCAGACATGTCCATCGGATTGGTCACTCCAGAGAACACATCTCCACTGCTCTAGAGTCCAGTGGCAGCATGCTATACACCACTGCATCTGATGCTTTGCATTGCACTTGGTGATGCAAGGCTTGGATGCAGCTGCTCAGCCATGGAAACCCATTCCATGAAGCTCTCTACACACTGTTGTTGTGCTAATCTGAAGGCCACACCAAGTTTGAAAGTCTTTGGACTCTGCAGACAGTTGGTGACTTCTGCGCACTTCAGCATGTGCTGACCCCGCTCTGTCATTTTATGAGGCCTACCACTTGGTGACTGAGTTGCTGTTATTCCCAGTTGCTTCCACTTTGTAATAATCCCACTAACAGTTGACCGTGGAATATTTAGTAGCCAGGAAATGTCACGGATGGACTTATTGCACAGGTGGCAACCTATCACGGTACCACGCTTGGAGTCACTGAGCTCCTGAGAGCGACCCATTCTTTCACAAATGTTTGTAGAAACAGTCTGCATGCCTAGGTGATGATTTTACACATCTGTGGCCATGGAGGGGATTGGAACACCTGAATCCAATGATTTGGAGGGCTGGCCCAATACTTTTGGCAGTATAGTTTATCTTGCTTGTAACATCCTAGATGGAAAAGAGGTGTCACAGACTTCGGTATCTCTCCTCTCTTCCTCACTTATTGTGATCTGTTGTGTACTCCGTCAAAATACTCCAGATAGTGTGAATAACGTTCAGATGATTTATTAACATAAAAAAAAACACTTACAAATGGTCAGACATGTGTGTAAGTCATAAATGCTGCTGGTGCCGGCTCCAGACAGTCGTGGGTGATGTCAGCACGACCTCTGCCCAGCCCCGACGTACGTTTTGTCTCAAATGTCAGGGAGGTCAGGTGACTGTTTAGACTCAGCATGCATGTCAGCACAGACATGTGAGCTCACCGTGACCGCACCTCCACTACAACTAGTATTAGACTCCAAATTTAAAATCTAAAAAAGTGACTGCTAGTACAACAACCACTGCGGAATAATTGGGAAGAAATCTGTCACTACACACGTGGAGGATTATTGTGGACACGACTGGTCATCATCATCAGGACTTTGTCAGTAAAGGACTTTTTCATTGTTTGGTGTTTCATACATTTTGATGTAGTAATATTCTATAGAAGCACATGTAATGTATAAGTGACTCCCTATTCGTATATGTTTTATCAATAATACGTGATATCCAGTTGTAGTTGTGCTGAGTATTTGTATTCGTATTTCTTGAGTGCAGCTATTGTTTCATTGTTTGTTTCATGGTTCACAATTTGTTTGGATTTTTTTTGGCACTTAGCGCAGCTACAGAAATTTCATATGGTTATAAACCCTTACATATCCCTGGTGAAGTGACCGGCCCCAGGTGATACACAGAGGTAAAACAAATCCTCCTAAATAAGTTGAACGGATGAAGAGAATAATGCAGATAAACAGGTACAAGTGCTGAATTTGTAAAGCCTGTCTGAGAGTTCAGAAAAAATGGGGCAAAGAGTTGAAATTAGATGCTGCAAAACTCTCAAGAGAGACCCCCACCTCTATACAACTACCAGGAACAGAGCTGAGGCTCTGTTCCCTGAGCTGAGCTCCCTCCCCTGTCACCATTTTTCTCTTGGTGTCAGGAAAACTTGTCAGAAGTGATTCATGCAGGTAACAGGAGAATGAAGGAGCAGAGAGAAATGACACTTAGGGCACTTAATTGAGATAAGCACACACCATGGAGGGATATGCTTTGTAAATATGTTTTGTCTGGGGGTATAGAACCACTTTGAAGTGAACTTCCACCCAATATTTCATGTTTGTCCCCATGTCTTTCTTCCTGCTGCCCCATTAATGTTTTATTTTTTTACACAAAGTTTTCATACCTTTATCTTGCCTGAAGTACTTCCTCTGATCATATCTGCCCGCCTGTTGGTTCCTGGGATATGTGTGTTAGGAATCTCAGGAATCAGTGGGCATCCCCCACTTCAAGCTTTGCCATACTTCCAAACTGGAAATGATGGAACGCCAGGCGGAGACTGGTAGCTATCTTCCTTTTGGGATGAATTGATTGACAGATTGTCATAGCAATGGGGCGGGAGCGTCCGCCAACACAGTCATTGCTATGGCAACCTTCAATACAAGGAATGCGCCGTGCCTTCTTCACTGCGCAGGCACAAGATCGGCAGGTGCATGCTGGGTAACCAGCAGCACCATTTCCCGGATAAATGTCCATGCAGGCTTCAGATGCCCACACTTAAGATGGAAACTTGCATAATCTACAGGGGCCAGTAAGTAATATTTTTGTTGAAATGGAAATCAAATGATTACAGGTACAGTTTATGCCGAATTGCATGGCATAAGCTGCCACGATCACTGGGGTGATATAAATAAATAAAAGACCGGAACTCTCCTTTAACACATTCCCTGCATTAAGGGGAAAAAATGTTGAGGTAACGGTATTGCCCCTCACCCGCCCCTTATACTCGAGTCCTCACTCAATCCAGCACATTGCCTGTCTGTAGCAGCTGTATTCTCTCTCCTCTCTCACAGGCTTTGCTGAGGCAGCAGGAGCTATTGGCTCCTACTGCTGTCAGTCAAATCTGTGACAGGGGCGGGGCTAAACCACTCTGTGTCTATGGATGCAGGCAGTGCAACTCAAGATCAATCCTGCATGAATGTCCGCATAGCAAGAGGCTTGCTATGGGGCTCACGAAAGGGAGGAGTGCCAGCAGGGGACCTGAGAAAAGGAGGTTTGGGTCCACTCTGTGCAATTTCATTGCACAAAGCAGTAAGTATAGCATTTGTATGGGCAGCACAGTGGCTAAATGGTTAGCACTTCCACCTGGCAGTACTAGGGTCGTTGGTTCGAATCCAAGCCACGGCACCACCTGCCTGGAATTTGCATGTTCTCCCTGGGCCTGCGTGGGTTTCCTCCAGGTATTCCAGTTTCCTCCCACACTCCAAAGACATGCTGGTAGGTTAATTGGCTCCTGTCTAAATTGGCCCTAGTATGTATGAATGTAAGTTAGGGACCTTAGATTGTACACCCCTTGAGGGTTAGGGACTGATGTGAATATACAATATATATGTGTGTGTAAAGCGCTGCGTAAATTGACGGCGCTATACAAGTACCTGAAATAAATGTTTTTATTTTTTTTTAAATAAAATGTACTTTACATTCATTTTATTTGTTAATGGCAAGCCAGAAGCATCTAACAAGTGCAGTGTGTTGGCAGACACCAAACTGCATGGTACTTCATGATTTTAAAGCTACACCTGCTGTATTTTTTGTGCTTTCCCATACATTTGGCTACCCATTGAAATGAATAGACTGTGATGAACGCACTACGCAGGAATGCACACAAACATGCATGTTCCGCTCTTTGTCTATTTAGAACTCAGACATTTGTCCAGTATAGAATTCCCAGCTCTTTCCTGCACCTGAGGAGCCACAGCTGAGGTGTACAGCCAGACATACAAGTAGATGGTTGGACATGGACATGTTGGCGCTTCTGTGCATCAGCATTTCCCCATGCCAGCTTCAGCTCACCAGGCGCAGGAAAGCTATGTGAATTTTACGTTGGATATATCAAATACCTGCATTCTTGTGCATGAGGCCTTCCCTACATGCGTATTGATTTGCTATTGGCAACCAAAAATAGTTATTTTCAGATGCTTTGAATGCGATGAGAAAAATGCTAATTAATACTTGGCAAACTGGCATGAAGACATTGTGTGGTGACCCCGGCCATAGTTCCAAGTTCTAAGGTGTACCTTTCCTTTATTCCACAGCTCTGTAGATGTGCTCTCCACCAAAGGACAAGTGAGCCGGCAGAAGGCCGAGGAGATCTACCGCTACCTTCATTATCACTTTGATCCACTAATGCAGCAGACTGGTGCCAAACGGAAACCCCACGTGTAGTCCAATCACTGACTCCTCCATGTTCCTTTATGTGCGAAGGAGACGTTATTGCAGGACAATGATTTCCAGTCCTCTGCACAAGCACTTTTTGTACATTGAGTCTGTTTTGTGTTATCTATTTTGTACATGCAGATAAAATAAATATTTTGGAGGATATTAATAATGCTGCCAAATGTGTGTGTTGAAGGATCTGACTATCCTTTGAGCTTACATATATATGAATTGGATGCATTTTGAAAGGGAGAATGTCACCAGCACACCGAGGATCACCAATATGGGTGCACAAGTTTTAATGAACGATCATATAGTTACAGCATGGCAATGTATCGAAGTCTGGCATGACCCCTTCATCAGGCATGTGAGACTTCAAACCATTGCCATGCTGTAACTATGGGATCGTTCACTGAAACTTTTGGACCCATATTGGTGATCCTCGGTGTGCTGGTGACATTCTCCCTTGCTGATTCTGTTCAGTTCCAGCCGACAGTCACTGCAGCACCTACTTATACACACCGCCATTTTTAATGTGTGCGTTTGGATTGTACACATGCCTTTTTAACCACATCCAATTTGTATGACGTGAAAGAACATTGCTATGCGGCCTGTTCACATAGGTCCAGGGCAACTGGTAGTGTGGATTCAGTGTGAATTAAGAGTCCTGTCAGTTTCCTGAGCAGTGCCATCCGACTCAGGAGCGAATTCAGGCCCATTGACTTCTACGGGAACTCTTCTGAATCGCATGTCTTTCAGCTTTGAACAGAATACAATCCTGACATAAACCACTGAACAACTACTTTGTCAATTATCTGTGAAAACAGAGAAGCACCTATGTGTGAATTTATTTTTTATAGTGTTGCATATTTTATAGAACAGAATTTATGGCTGCTTGTATCCTGTTGTGAAGACTTCACTTCTTGTTTTGGTTACAACACTTGTCACAGCAGAAAGAGAGTGGCTATCCCCAAAGGGGACATAGAAAACACTAAAACCTCAATTAGATTATGTGTTTCTCTTTGAAAATTCCCCCAAATGGGACCATGGGCAGGGATTCTTACCATTGCTTGTTTTATGCAGAGCACCTCCTATAATCCTCCCCACAAAGAAAATGTGTCTGAATATAGCTACAGTGTATCCATATAGACAAGGAGGACTGGACTCATTCAAGAAAACCAATATTCAGTCTTAAGTGAATTGAAGATGTCAAATTATTTTTTCATAATTACATATTCAAAAAAATGTTATTTTGAATTTGACACTCTACTGGATTGTTAGGGATCAGATGTCACCTGAAGTTCAGGATTGCTGCAACCCTGACAGCAGCTGAACCACATTCTGCACTCATCCTGGGTTCACATCTGTGTGGGTGGTGTCGCTGCAGATCCACACACAAATCCGTCAAGCCGCACTGGAAAATACAACCATACTGGCAACTGAGGTTCCTGTCTGTGCTGCGTTTTCAGAAGTGCAGGGACTTCTTCCCTGCGTGTCACGGGAGTCCATTCAAATTATTGAGCTCTCGTGCCCATGCAAACCGCTGCCCACACGGCTGCATAGATTTAGACTGGGAGATTGCTGCTTCATACCAACTGCCTGACCTCACCAGCCGACATAATTGCCTACACTGGAAGTGGTTCCTGCCAGGTGCTTTTATATAGAAACACAGTCAGGGGAAGTTGGTGAAGGCTTAATGACTCTTCTGGAGGTAGTTTTCTTAAGCACTTCCTGCACTTAATTCAAGGTAAGCCCTTTGAGCCGGTGTTAGTAACATTACTGAGAAGCTCTGGTGGTTCAGCTGGTGGCTGAGTTTTTTGGGCTGACCTGGCCATAGATAGAATTAAATTTGGCCATTCTCATTCAAGAGAAGCCAATTTAATGATCCACTTCTCACAAATGGGACCACTGGACCATTGTCCTCAGCATCCACAGCCAATTGACTGCATTGCTGAATGGTATTACGACAGCGGAGGATCCTCACTGTCAGAATACAAGAACACTGCGGGGAGGATTCACTATTCGCCTTGCTTGTATGGATGGTGGAATTTTTTTTTTTTTTTTTTTCTCCTATTGGCCCGCCGGGTAATAAAAAAAAAAAAAAATTGAGTGTATGGTGAGCATAACAGCTCTGGATACTGCTGGGATGGTGTCACTGCTCCAAGACTCACTCATACACAATACAATCAACTTCACCCAAAAAATTGTGTAATTTTTCTACATCCTCCATAATGCAATCAATTTGTATCCAATCATGTAGGATGCTGGACATTTGTTTACAATCTGCTGTTAGATATATAGGTGAATGTATAATGTGTGGTGAGCCTAAAACGACATGGCCATTGTCCCCTTCCCAGACAAACATACTCAGAACAAGTTAAAAAGGTATTTACAATGTGATTCATTAGAAGCTGTACGCTGAAAATAGGAGCGCAGTAGAGAGGTAACATTTAATAGGTGGGTGGCTGTGCTAACTTTTTCTCTACATTCTCCCCTTTTCAATTTCATGGCCGGTTCACACTAGGAATCGTCCATCAATAGCTGCACATTCCTCTGGCTCCATTCTACAGCCAAATGCAATTTCAAAGAGGAAAGTCTGAAATCACACCAAAGTATGGTACCTAAAAATCTCCACGGGCAACACTTTAAAAGCTTTTACAGGCTACCAGTTTAGATTTGCATAGGAGGTTTGGTTCTGATGTTTGAGGAGATACCTCATATGCTTGCAGGACTGATTGATACACTCGCCTTTTGTGCGTGAGCAGGGAGGGATGAGACATTTACATTTTTTTTTTATTTTACACTTTTTTTTTTTTTTTTAATCACTTCTACTGATATCACAAGGGATGCACATCCCTTCTGATAGCTTGGACCATGACAGGACCTCTTTTTGAGGAGAGCTGTGGTCTACACCCCATAGCTCTCCTCTGGCCTCCAAAGCATCAGATCACACCAAGATTAATGTGATACGTTACTTGCTTAAGCCAGTAATGACTCGTGTACAGAAGACCAAAACCAGAAGTGATGAAATCCGTGTCACGTTCAGTTTGATGTCACACAGTGGGATGACATCTGTTCCTCTCACTGGGGCAGGGAGCCCAGTAAGGATGTGAGTAGCCTGTTCCTGATACCACAGGAGAGCCCAGTAACACCAACCCCCTTCTGTTACCTGTAAAAGTAATTTGAGCAGCCAAAGAGGATTACATTTACAACGAGCAGAATCCCCTAAAGGGGGGGGAAAAAAAAAAAATTTATAGCAGCGATGACAGATCTTAACTACTTCCCATCCAGGGATGGCAGGATACGTCCTATGGAGGGGAAGGGTAATGAGTATGGAGGCTACAATTTCTAACCTCCTGAAAATGTCTCCAGGGAGCAATTCACATGAGATAGTAAAAAGAAGCATACACCAAAGTCAAAACCGATTTACTTCTTTCTTCATAAAAAGGCAGACAGAATACAGTGTGCCAATTTTTTTATTTTAAAAAGCCAACTCTCTGCCAATACAGAATTGCTTGCAGTGAGGATTGTCCTCTCACTTCAGCACAAGTGTGGGGACAATATAACAAAGTCCTGGAATTAAAGAAAACCTATGCATGGCGCTGAGCGGGAGATCGTTGTGAGATCTCCCAAACCCAGGCTCCCCCAGCGCCCAGGTAACAGGTCGTCATGACCTTCGGATAGCCAGGAAGGAGGAGGGGGACTTGTCTGCAGCCAGGTCCTGTGGGAATGCTCCTGCACCCGGTCTGTGTCCCATGAGCCCTCTATTCCCAGGAGGTGTGCGGGAGGAAGCTAGAGCTGAAGGGCAAAAAGTCCCTGATTGCTGGGGAACGGAGGACACTAGGTGCTCACATGACTGGCTGCAGCTACACGAGGAGGAGAGAGATACCGGCATAGGAGAGCATTTGCAGCACTGATCTCCCTTCTCCCCACTGTCTCCCTCACCCCACTAGATAGATTTATATGCTCTTGGTTAGAAATCAATGATTTATATGCTTCTGAAGTGAAGGAAAAGAGCTATATGGGTGAATGAGAGTGGCAGAAGATTATAAAATGTGATATTAAAAAAAACTTGTGAAGAAGCAAAATGTTGATGGACAAGATTGTGGGGGTGGCGCACACAGGGGGGCATGGCGACAACTGAGGGTCTTGGACACAAAGGGATGAAGGCTAAATAAAGAGACGATTTGAAAAGAATTTGAAATTCCTGAGGGGGGGAAAGAGGTAGACAGAGGAGAGGAGGTAAAAGAGAGGAAGGAAAAATATTTTCTTGGAGGAGTGGATATCTGAATACCTAAGATATCAGATATAAATTTAAATGAAAAACAAGGCAAAAAAAAAAAGGTGGTGGGACAAAGGCCCTGCAATCAAGTTCAATTAAAAAAAAAATATATTCCCGGGCAGGAAAAACAGACTTCAGAGAGGGAAAATGGAATGAATGAAAATAATTTTGGAAACCAGTAATGGAGAAGGCTCCTAATTATCCTTGGGACTACCTAATATTAGCCAAAATTTAGAAGAAGCAGACCTAGTGAAAACAGGTCCGCAAGAGAACTTAGAAGAGTAGGACACTCATCTGCCAACTAAATCAGAAATTGCTGGAATGTTTAAAGGTTTGGAAAAATCTATACAGCAGGAAATGGTGAAGTTACATAAAGATCTGGGGCAGGTGTTTAGAGTAGAGGAGACGGAAGAAAAAAAAATAAACAAACATGCCCAAGTGATCCAGTCCATAGGAAAACAAATGGTAGAAATGAAGAAAGAACATAGAAACCTGCTATATAAATTTGAAGATCAGGGAAATGGGCTTAGAAGAAGCAACTTAAGGATAAAAGGTTTTCCAGAGATCTCTCAAGGAGAAGATTTGATTGAGGGAAAAAAAAAAATAGAGAAAATGTTAGTATAATGGACAGAGCTGCAGCGGAACTGTATAAAATAGATGGGGGTGTACAGAATTGGGAGACTATCAAGAAGGCAGAAAAGGTAACCCGAGAGATGGTATTGTTCAA